GAAATATGTTAAACTGTAACACTAAAAGCTATGGTTTAAGAGATTAACTCAAATCCAGCACTATATTGTGGGTGATATTACCAGTATATCACAGGGTGATATTTAAACCCTGCTAAATGCTCCCCCTGATTTTATGGCTTTTACAATGATGCATTTAAAGTCTTCATATGTTGTCATGTGTGCTACTGGAAAGATAACTGTATTAGTGCAAGCGCTCACTATTGGGAAGCATATGGTGTGCTGTGGCATTCTGACTTGACAGTCATGATCAAATTTGAAAACTATCTGAAAAGCCTTCTGTTCCGAAAGCAGTAGTGGCTTATGCCCCTGGCCTGTAATCCATTGCATGACTCTAGGGACAGTGAGGTGGGATGGCTCAGTTTCCACTTCTGCTGTATCTTCAGCACTCTCTATAGTTTTGTGTAAAGAAAAAAAACCAAGTGTTACCGCAACAAAGGACTGAGAGACTCTGGTTTTATAGCAATCCTTTGCTATGTTACACTGAAAATACTGGACAAATCTCATATTCTAAAAGTCTCTTTTTCTCTATCCCCGTTCAGTATCCCACTTTTGATGAAGAAAGTCATATCTTGGACAGCCTGAGAGTGAGTAGTGTTATTCAATTTTAATTTTGGGTAAACCATCCCATTAAGATTAATAATAAAGTACAATACAACGCAAAGCCCACCTCCACATTCAATTTCTTGAAGGAAGTCCTGAAAGTAGTTTATGATTTTGCTCTCTACCGAAGCCCTTGAAGTTCCTCTCTCACTCATTTCAGGAGCAACATTGCTGAGAATATAGTCTGCATCTGGCTGGAAAAAGAACAAATTGTCAGTAGAACAACAAATTGGTGTTTGGTTCAAAAAAACAATGTTGTTACCAAATTTAACTTACTGTACAATCCTCCCCAGGGACAAACAGACTCTTACAAAGATTTGGATGCTCCTTAAGTATGTCCAGCAATCCATAGAGCTGGAGGCCTTTGCGCAAGTCTCCAAGCATTGGTGTAACTCGAAATGTTGCATGGAGAACAATTGCTCTTGTGGAGAAAAACAAAAGTAACAAATTTAATAATAATAATAAGAAAAACTGTAAGTCTAGAAATACAGCATAAGTTTGTTTCAAGTTGTAAGCAATTTAGGTTAACAAGTTAAATTTAATTTGACTAAATGTAACATTAAAAAGTCTTCCAAATTATATCTTTCATGACACAGTCTGCTTAAAAGGGAAAGTATTTTCCATATTTACCTAATTATGGCATCTTTTTGTTCCATGTTGAGTGCTCCTGTGTATCCACAGCTGATAATTTCATCTGTGAATTCAGTCAGATCAGTTGCCTCTTCAACCTAAAGAAAAACAGTCAGTGACAACAGGATGCCAAAATAACTCTATGTGATTACTTTTTGGTAATATGCAAACCAACAATGCAATATACTGCTGGTAACTATTAGGCAGTATTCAGAGTGAAGTTACCTTTGCGATCAATAGGGAGTATTCAACATCATCTACATCGTCCTTGCAAATTCTGGTGACATCAACTTCCCCAGTGGTGAGGTAAAAGTAGCACCACTCTCGCATAAAACATGGGGCTGGGCCACCTTGAGCTAGGCTGACAGCAAAGATCTCTCCAGCAGTCCTATTATTCCAAAGTGAGGTTTTAAAAAGCACTCAGTCATTGCCATTACACATATAATTTAAAAATGTAGCTACAACATCACAAACCTGAAGAGACCATTGTCAAGGTCACTGTTGGAGTACTGTGGACTCTTTGCTCTCTGACCCAAGAAGAGGCGTATTTCAATGCCACTGATCATTTCTTTGAATAACATTGAGAAAAAGCAGTGTGTGAATTACACAGATAAATTTAATTTATTTTTGTTACAGCTTTTCCACTTTTATTATACTTAATAACTTGCCTGTAAGAAACTCCTTTCGTAAAGCACCAGAGTCGACTCCAGCTTCGCCAATAAAGGTTATCTTTAGCTGGTTGGCTGGATTTCCTTTTTTCTGTCTTTGCCACTGCTTGAGCCCCCTCTCTAGGAGATTGTCCCGTGAAACACAAATGCGGAAATGATTTTCTGCATTTACTCGGCCAGCAAGCAGCTCCAGAAGATCTTCTAGACTGTGGCAGGAGATAATGAGATGGTGAACACCATATACACTGTAACACTTAATGAAACTTTTAGACTCTGTACTAAATGAAAATGTTACCATAATACTTGTGGAGAGCTTGAATTGCCTGTTGTATCGTCAGCAATACAAGAATTATCATTGTGCATAAAAGAGCTGTGATCTGGAGACTCCACTGTAATGTGGAGAGAATAGAGTTTTTATTTTACAGTGGAACATGTGGCATTAAAGTACTTGGGGTTGATTTATAACATATTTGTTTCCAAGAACTGTTTCC